AATGAAACACAGATATTCATTCTTCTGGTATTCCCTGCTTTCCGCTACAATCCATCTAACATTAGCTACAATATCCCTAGTACCATGACCCTTTCTAAACCCAGCCTGGACTTCTGGCAGTTCTCTGATGAGAGTCCAGTGTCAATTATTTATCCCCTCTTTTCTTAGGTTCCCTCCAACCCCAATATCAGTCCCGTTTTACAACAGTGGCACTATGCAGTATTTGTCCTTTTGTGACTGAGATCTTTCACTCAGCATAAAGTCCTCCAGGATCACCTGTTTTGTATAATATTTCATGAGTTCTTTGTTTTTTAATGCAACATATATTCTATTGTGTGAATATACCACAGCTTCTCTATCCATTTGTTTGTTGATGGGTACTTGAGTTGTTTCCAATTTTGTTTATTCAATTGTGAACAAAGCCACAATAAACATGGGTGTGCATATATCTGCTTGGGTGGCAGTTCTGGTTTCTTTAGGGTATAGTCCCAGTAGTGGAACTGCTGAGTCAAACCGTATTTCTATTTGCCACTTTTTGAGACAGCGCCATGCTGTCTTCCATAATGGTTGCACCATGTTACACCCCCATTTGCTCATGGATAAGAAGATTCAATATTGTGAAAATTACAATACTGCCAAAGGCAATTTACACGTTCAGTGTAATCTCAATACAAATACCAATTTCATTCTTTGACAAGATGGAAAAGGCAATCTCCAATTTCATTTGGAATGGAAAGAGGTCCCAAATAAGGAAAGCACTCCTTAAAAAGAGAAACAAGACAGGAGGCATCTCACTCCCTGATTTCAAATCCTACTACACTGCCGTGGTGATCAAGACAGCATGGTACTGGTACAATGAGACACATAGATCAATGGAATAGAATTGGGAACCCAGAAATCAGCCTATCTACCTATGGGCATCTGATTTTAATAAGGATATGAAATTAGTTAAGTGGGGAAAAACCAGCCTTTTTAACAAATTATGTTGGCAAAATTGGAAAACTATCTGCAGAAAATTAAAGCAAGATCCACACCTCATTCCACACACAAAAACCAATTCAAAGTGGATTATGGACCTAGGACTAAAACCAAGTACATTAATCCACAACAGTCTTCCAAACATCCTGGAAAATCTATAACCAGGAAAGGATAAAATAGATGAACATGACTTTCTAAGAATAAAATCACTATGCACATCCAAAAACTTCTCCTACAAGGTAAAATGGGAAGCCATAGACTGGGAAAAAAAATATTTTGCAATGACATGTCTGATAAGGGACTTATATCTAGAATTTATAGACTACTTGAGCAGCACAGCAAGATAAAGGTAAACAACCAAACTGAAAAATGGGCACAGGATATTAACACTTCACCAAAGAGGACATTCAGATGGCAAACACACACATGAAGAAGTGTTCAAAATCCCTAGCTCTAAGAGAGATGCAAATCAAAACAACTATGAGATATCATCTTACCCCAGTAAGAATGGCAAAATTCAACAGAGCAGTAAACAGCAAATGCTGGCAAGCATTTGCTTGTGGAGAAACTGAGACAACTTCAATCTTTATCTATCATGATGTTGCAT